CAACTTTGATATGCAGTCCTTTTTCTGAAGTCTTATTTATATATGGCAATGACGAAGACCTTGCCTATGATCTCATGAACTGGAAGAGACACCACCAGTTTTCAAAATTATAGCACAGACAAATTTGAGTTTTATAACTAAATGGGTGGAATGTTGAACACGATAAAAAAATAGAGAGTAATAGTGAATTTAAACTGTCGGGGTGTTGAATGGGGCAAAGAAAATGAAGATTAGCGGGGAATTTATGCGGTTGGGGTGGTGGGTCTTAAATGTAGTAGGATGAGGTAGTGGTATTTTTTTTTCTTCTTTTTGCATCAGTGTTTCGCTTTGGAGAGTTAGCAGCCATGGCGGTATAGCTTGGGGACGATGAAGAAGATGGAAGAATATTTTGGCAATTAGGATATAATTATAATTTCAAGTATTTTTTATTTTTTACAAAAGGTTAATCACACGTGCCACATTATTATTAGTGCGTGATTACACTTGCTGAGAAAAAAGTGGTCAAACACTAAAGAGGTGTGTATTAGACACACTCGGGAAAGGTTGAGTGTGCAAGGTAATTTTTGTTCCCAAAAAATGTGTCACAGGGATTTGGTCCATAATTCCAGGGGTAAACTATGTATTCTGCCTTAATGGAAACATAACGTGTTAGCTTCTTAAAATACAGGTGGAATCATATAAAAAATACTCACATAGTTTTGCGTGTACAAACCCAGCCATTTATATGAACCTAGTAAAGAATGGCCCATGCTGAGCATGGGCCCAATCACTATATTGCAGATTTGATTTTTTTTTTGTCATTCATTTAAATTTTTGGTGATCTAAGTTGTATGATATCTTACTGTAACTTCAAAAATACAATATTTGTTCCTATTCATTCTAGTTGTAAAGTATTTTGGGCTCTTGCATTTCTTTTAGAGTGGTTTTATCTTTTATTGGTGGTATAATAACAAACCATGGGGTTGTATTTTCGTAATTGAAGAACGTTTTTTTAGCTTCCCTTTTGTCACAAAATTGTCCAACTTGGGTATTCACTTTACTCAATTTATAAAATTAAAAAAAATGATTAAATCCTATGTTCCTGTTCCGTGTTCCTGCATTATTAATAATAGAATGGGCCATGGTGTCTATTTGAATTCATTTATCGCATAATTCTATAAGTTTGAACAGGTTAATTTGTAAGAAAGCAAGTTTGATATGAAATGAATGGATAGCAAAGAGATCACATTGTTAATTTTTAGTTTGTAAAATAGTTTTGAATTAGGTATCATTATAAATTTTAAAAATATATTAAGATTTTTGAACAGTATTATTTGAAAAAGTACTTTATAGAGTAGAAGTTTGTGTTAGGCTTTAATTAAAAAATATTTTCTTAATATTATAGTAACAATATATGGTTGGCCAAGATTTCAGGAAATTTTATCCCTATTCATTAGAAATCAACAAAGTCCTTTACAGTCTAAATTATGCAGTACATTTAAAATATGATTATAATTAAACCAAAAAGAGAAAGAATGGCTGCTTAGCAACTACAATAAGCTAAAAAGGAAAAACGGTCAGACAAAATAATCCAAAAAACAATTGAAAGTAACTCATTGGTTATTCTAAAAAAAAATAGCGATTTGGAAATGAAATTACAATCTCTCTCACAAAACAATTAATTTTTTTGTATAACCTGATATGGTAGCGCCTACCAAGTAAGATCGGCGTCATTCTATACCCATTCGTCGAACCCAAATTAAAAATATATAATAGTACAATAATGTTTTTCTATCCCAAAAATATACCATCTAGGCAATGCCATAATTGATAAGTCAGGCATAAATTAATTTATTTTTTCCAAAAATTATATATTTAGATATTATTTAAAAAGGTAAAATAATTTCAAAAAATTTCAATTTGGCATAGTTAAGATCTATATAAAATTTATCTCTTAAGCATCTAATGTCATTATTGTTTTTTACCAGAAGCAGTACCATTTTTTGCATAAACTATCTACAATTTTTTAGTGGGAGAAAATAACAAACAATACAAAGTCATAGGAATTGTGAAAGAAGATATGTGTAGTTACAATGGATCAATTTAATTTTAGCTAACCAATTTACTGCTCCAATTATAAGCGCTACTATTACTGTTAAAATATATTTTGAATGAATTTTTTTATTTTCAGGTATATCAATGTCAATTTACTAATACTCTAGACAACAACAATAACAACCACCCACTGTAATTTCAAAAGTGGGGTCTGAGGATGATAAGATATACGCAGCTTTACCCCTATTCTGAACTATTCTGAACAGGCAAAGATATTATTTCTGATAAATCCTCGGCAAAGATACTTTTACTAATGCTTTAGAGATCTATAAAATTAATGAAAAGCTCTATAAAATAAAATAAATTAGTAAAATGATGTGTAAAGGTCTAGTAAGGATCCGATACAATTAATTCAGAGAGGAAAGATGGGTTACAATGTTTTCATAATTAGAACATAAAAAGGCTGACACTGAATAATTAAATTAAATAAAAATTAACATGCTTAATAATCGTAGAATACATATTTAATATTTAAATTAGATAAATTTTAGCTCAAGGAAAGTCTGTTGTTACTTCTATTTTACCGGGAAATAGAATTTCACTTTTGGAAGAATTACTGTATAACTTTACACTGTCAAAGGGTCAAACAACCTTGGACAAGCAAAATTGACTTAAGAAAAGTGCAAGTAAAAGATTCATGTTTTTTAGCCCAAAAAAAAAAGAACACAAAAAGAAGGAACGGCAAATTGTTCTCAAAGTTTGTTATATTTACTCAAATACCAGTGGCAACTGAAGCAATAAAGAGATTACTCAGGGGCATAAGAATTCTTCAAAAAAACGGCGCTGCCAAAGTAACTGTGAAATTCCAGAAATATCCTTATGCCAAGCAGACATGTTGACCATGAGCTGCCTGGTTATTAAGTATAGGAATAGATTTGTAGGAGCTTATGTGAAATGACTAAATCACCCTCGAACTTTATAAAAAGACAATAAGCACACACGTAGAAACTTGAGCTCTTCTAATATATAGAAAAGTAAAGTAAAGTAATAATAAGTAGTAGTAATAGTAATATGTTAAGAAACTAAGGTTCTTTGGTTAAAGATGACATTAACAAAAACATCATGTATATACATGATTATATATAGATTATAAATTCGCTGACTATTTTTAATTTAAGAAATTGAATGGGCTGCTATTTAGCTTAATTCTTCTTTAAACTTTTTAATCATAACCCAAGACGTGCAAGTTTTTTGAACTTCACTTGCTTTCAACAAGAAGCCATCTTTTTCTCTTTGCATATGTCCTTAACAATCTTCATATCTAAAAATGTTCCTACCATAGCACAAAAAACATAGTAGAATCGTGCAATATATGCCCGCCGGTATGCTTGCTGCTCGCGACGAAAGAAAGGAGAGCGACAAGGCTCAGTACAGATAGAAAGACTGGAAACATTCATCTTATATATATATGCATGCAAAACTTCCTTCCTTTCTGGATCAAATTGAAGTGATAAAACTGAAATAGTGAAGCAGAAAAAAGGAATAAATTTTTCATGTGCCTATCCCATTTCTGGAAAATGCTCAATAGAAGCTGCAAGCTCTTTCATGTAGCTGCGAAAATCATTTACAAGCATACTTATAACTTAGTGTCAAACCTTCTAAAAATATTGTCCAGTTTCTAAACACAAGCTTTTTATACAAGTTCTCTCCCTATTGTCTAGTTTGCTCCGACAATAGCACTGCTTCTAGTTCCTTACTGAAGTCTTCGTTGCCATCTTGCTCTTCAGCCACTTCTTGTTGGGAGAACTTTTCCTGCTTTTCCTTTACAATGTCAAGCGAGTCTTTGACAGGCTGATAACGAGCGCCTGTTTGTTGGTAGAATAATTCCTTCTGAGCTTTCCAATCCTCAGCAGTCTTCTCAACTACATCCCCTATCAATGTCTGGTTCTCTGTTATGTGCTTTATATTTTCTACATCCACCATGTCTTTAGCCGCTTCAAGAAGAATCTTGGAATGCAAAAGGAATGCGTGCATTCCTATATACATTCTCAACAAAAGGAATGCAATACTTTGTGAACTAATTGGTAGCTTCACTGCGTCACCATATTCACAATAGCTTTGTATGTACCAAATATATAAATTTAGACCATAAATGATTTTTTTATTACCTCACATAGGATATTGACTTTAGCAAAGGAATACTTCTAAGATAGAAGAAAATTTGACCTGTATTACTCAGACTTGGATAATCCTTTCGAAATAATACAAAATGTGTCTTAACACATGTATAGTATAACAACAACAACAACAACATATCCAGTATAGTCCAATAAGTGGGGTCCAGGGAGGGTAATATGTACGTAGACCTTATCTCCACCTTGAGAAGATAGAGAGGCTGTTTTCGGAGACCCTCGGCTCAAAGACAAAATGAAAATGAGCAGTATCAACAAGCAGTAACAAACAGTGTAACGCATCATTAGTGCTGACAACAAATAGAAAATGACCAAAATATGTTTTCTGTTAAAAGCTTAAGAAGCTCATTGAGGTTACCTCTAATAGCAAGTTCCTTGGCCCTTGCATATTCTGCTGACTTTTGCTTGAGCAAATCCACCTCAAGCTCCATGCCCTGGAATAAATAAATAATACGAATTCAGCACTCTGAAGTCAAAGATAGAGACATGCAATAGCAGGTTTAAGTGACAAGGGACCTAATGAAAGGAATTGCATCACTAAAGCAGCCTCCCAAAAAGCTAACTTGTCCACTTTCTAGTGACAAGTAACAAGCTAATTTGCTTATACTGATCAACTCAAACATTCAAAAAAACTCCCGATCAATGCAAAGAATGCATCATATGGTCAAATGATCCTCTAACAAGATATCTGATTTTTGTACTATTTAAAATTTAAAAAGAAACCTCCGTTGATTTTTTTCCTCTCACAAACAGGCAACTCGAGAATAGTCCATTCTTTTTGTAGTACTTCATTTCACTTGCCCTTTTAACTATCACACTGCTAACTGCTAAGGTAAAAACTAAGCATCCACTCCAAGAAAAAAGAATCATAAAAGAACAATCTTAAGCTATTCTGAAAATACTTGCTAAATTACATAAATACAAACACAGACCCACACAAAAACAGAAACAATTTCGTATTCCAGCAAACAATATCAATCATATTTGGATGGAAAAAATCCAACCAATTTAATGAAGGAAGTTTTACACAGTCAATTGGTCAAAAATTACTAAAATCCTACTTATAATTTTTATTTTTGATGATGTTGCACCTGATGTTTCTTGCAAAATCAGTAAAGTATAGGTCTACTCAAAATTTCCATCAAAATGTTGGCTGAGTTCAACAAATCCACATAACAAACGGTTGCCAGAAAAGTATCAGTAACATACTTTTTGGATGCTATGCGGATACTTGCATTTTGTATTTCCGTCAGTTCATCTAATCTCTCAGCTACAGAGCCTTCATTCACATCCACAGACCCAAAAAGAAACATGTTCCTGTCTAACATACGTTTGACTAAAGCAGGGACTACTTTAACATCTTTAGCCTTTGCCTCTGCGATAATGTTCCGAAGATTCTTCAGGTCTCCTGCCAAATGGAATAAAAAGAATTATGGTAAAACTACAAAGCATCAAAAGCTACTGACAGTTGCACAGTAAACTAAACTGGCAATTAAACACTTGCCAAATTTTGTAAATAAACACTAGCCAAAGTAAGAGTTTCAAAGTCCAAATATTAATTTAAGGAATCCCCAAATAACACAAGAAGGTCTTCCAGAGGGACATTTCTTCTCTGATTGGCACTGCTAGATTAGAAGAATTACATCGGCTACGCACCCACAAACATACAAATTTTTATATCCTCAAAGATCTATAAAGGAATATGAACAGACTGTCATACTTCATTTAAACAAGGGTGATGCTATGCTACATATCAGGAGCAATAAATTATGGTGAACCAGTTCTACAAGTGACAAGGAACATATATTGAACTTGCAAATTATAGTTGAAAACACATACTGTTCAATGGGTTATTTCTGAAAGTGAAAATGAGGGCGCAATGACTTTCCCTGGATTTAGTATTGTCAAAAGGTAGTTTGAGAAATGATAGAGAAAAGGAGATCATTTGGCATCAAAGGAAGATTTAATTGGAGGTCCTGTTGATGTTGGACCAATGAAACACAACCTGTTCTTCAAATGAAATTAAAACTGACATTTAAGAACTTTTTAGCAAAATGATAGTACGAGCTGGTATTGTGATTGGTATCTTAGTAGCATCAATGTATTCCTCACCTAGATTTTAATTTTTCACCAATTATTCAAGCATTCCTTGACTTCTTGTGCTTCATCTATTATTATGATTTGATAAGAAAACTGAATAGAGTGTTATACAGGTTAATGTCCTCAAAGCTAAACCAAGAAAAGGTTTAACTTAAGTCGAAGCAACAACGGTGGACACCTAATAGTGGTCCAATTCCATTCATATAACCTGCAAAAATATAGATACTTGATAGTCCAATTACATGTTTGGAGAACTCTTCAAAGAACTGAAGCAACCTACTTAGAGTATGAGTAAACGATGAATTAACATCCTCACTAGAGCTATTCATTTGATTTACATATACATGTTACGTCATAATTCATCTGATATACAGCATTAATATTGTGTTATAGTTCCGGTAAATATTTTGAAACAAGAATCTAGAAAGTACCTATGATGATATATGCTCCAGACAGTGCCATCACAAAGAAAGAAATTTGCAACTCAATCAGTAAAGTGACTGATTCAGGTTTGATTCTAATATTGTTTGTAAAGATTCGATTGTAATGTTTAATTGTTTCATCTCATAAGACCAAAACTGCACCGCCGAGAGAGAATCACCACATAAAAAGCACTATTTCACGACATACAACAACAACAACAAACCCAATGTAATCCCACAAGTAGGGTCTGGGGAGGGTAATGTATACGCACACCTTACCCCTACCTTGTGAAGGCAGAGACCCTCGGCTCAAGGAACAAAGAAAATAAAGCAACAAACAGTAGTAAAAAAAATGCAATAGAAGCAAACAACACAACATGTAATAATAAAGAACCAGAAATAAGAGAAATACAATAATAGTACTAGTACTACTGGTAAGACTAAGAGACACTAGCGACTACCAGTCATCCTTCCACCCTAATTCACGATATATCATGTTAAAAAGGTTGTGTGTATATATATATACCTAGAGATATATAAATCTTGAAAGGAGGCTTGAATGGTTGCGTCTCATAAAGGCAGTATAGGGAATAAAGCCCACCCAGTCTACTCAAAAGAGAATAAGTAGACACCATGTAACCTGCAATGCATTCAATTCGGTTAATCTAAAGCAGTAAAATATAAAATATCAACCACAGGGAAAGGTGAAAATCTTACACTAGTATGACAGCTCTCTCATAGAAATTTAAGAGAAAATAAACATCAGAAAAAGAATTTAAGGATGCACTCACATTCACTCTGATATCTCTCCAAATACTAAAATCACTTTCCAAAGGCTTTGTTTGGTGTCAGAGCCAAACTTTTACACCTACTGTGCTATCTATCGACATTTACCAGAGCATATGATGACGAGGGAGAGAATATTAGGGCAAATTGAAATGTCTGAGTTGATTTGGAAGAATCTCTCAAGGTTTCTATATTTCTCTTAGAAATCGTGATTTGGAAAAATCTTTAAAGAGTTTGTGTTTCTCTTAGTTTGTGACCCTTCACATTGCTACTCACTGACTGATAAGCAGGTAAAATTTGGTTATAGTAGCACATGGAATGCATCATATTTAGCAATCAAATAAATCTAACAGTCATTTATATCTGTAATTTGTAACTTTTAACCACGTAAATAAATAAGCAAAATGGTGTTCACTTGAACACAAGATTGACTTCAGTTCTATTCAGCAAAAGACAAATAATACAAATCTACTGCTACCTCAGTGCTATAAAGTTTTTCTACATTCTCTCTCTTTCTTTTTTTTGGGTTGGGGGGGGGGGGGGGGGGGGGGAGGGGGAGGGGTTGAAGTAGGTGGCATTTCTCAACATTCCTGTAGTTCCATGCACCTTACGATGGTTACGTTTCACATTAAAGGTAGAAAGTTTTTCAAATATAAGCATGTGTATACCACAATAATCAGAATCATTCTCTCCGGATGAAGCTAAAATATGTTAAAATAGGAAAACTAACAAAAAAGTAAAATAGAAAACATTTAGACATACCACTACAGTAGGCATAGAGTGATTGCATAAAGCATGCCTGATCTTTAGAGGGACTCGCCTCAAAAATATAGGAGAACTTTTTAGAGACCCACACTCTCTTCATTTCTGCAAAACTAGGAGATCCACCCTATAAAACACTATATTACTGGTATGAACCATTATGAAAAGTGCAAGATAAATGAATAACATTCATTTTATTTTGGTAATGATGATGACGAGTTGAGCTAAATGAAAGGAATGAGGATCCATATCGCCGACCCCAACTTACTTGGGACTGGGGCGTAATTGGTGTTGCAAGATAAATGAGTAGATCGAAACTATGCTTAGATTGAAGGGAAAAAACAGGCATATTAGTACCTTGGCAAACTCATTTATAAGCTCATCAATGTCTAATTTGAACGGTTTGAGGTCCATATTATTAAAGTTGACTTCTCTTTATGGCCTACAAGTAGAACATTTCTTGATTAAGCTAGTGCAAAGAACATACGCTACTATAGATTCAATATCACTACAGTTAGAAGAGAAGACCGTCAAGAACATACAATAATAACCAACAGACTGCTTTTTGCTACGACTGAGGGGTTGCATTGGTAAAGTAAATAATGATACCATATTTGCAGGTTCATATAAGAATAGCCTAATAAGAATTTCTCATAATTAAACATATTTGTTGCTAATTATTTGTTAAATACAGCGATTGGTTTAAATCATGAACTATTCAGTATTAGCAACAAAACAGTCAACTACAATCTCAAAAGTTTACATATCAAAAGTCTATCACATATTATTTACAAATTTATAAGTTGTAAATAACTGAAATGCATAAATAGGAAAAATTATAGCAGATGCCTTTTCACAATATTAAAATGTAAAATAAAACCCATAAAAAAGAAGGATAACAAAAGGGAGTAGTACTAGAAGCACGTTGTATCCATCCACTAATCTATCACAGTAATTATATATAAAAAACAATTGTCGCACTTTCAAATTGAAGAAACTGATCAACAGATCAGATTCGAACTTCTATGCCCTAAATTGTCTAAGAACTATTACATGGACACAAACCCAAATTACAAAGACCAGAAATGACACACTCGACAAAGATATCTAATTTTCATAATAAACATTAATAACCAAACCAAGGAACGGGTACGATATTCAGTATATATTTACAAATTAACAAACCACTTAAACACAGCATATGAATAAAAATATTACCGTTATAATTGTACTCGATGACTTGTCATATTTTGAATTAGGTACACTTCAAAAACTTCATCCTCCATATAACAAACTAAAGAATATAAAAAATTCTTCACCAATTTTGCTTCACAAGTTAATTTTAGTGTATGCCGTTGAAGAAAAAGCTCTTCCCACTGTTAACGACATGTAATAATAAACTTAACTTCAGAAGTAAATAAACGAGTTTTCAAGTCTCTTGCAGATGTGTTTCAAGATTTAAGAGTTCCATAATTTCAACAATTTTAACCTCCGGTGTAGGGATGGCAGTGGGGCGCGGTGGGGAGGGTGCGGGGCTAGACTTAACCTGTAAAAATTTCAACCCGCCCCGTCTCGCCCCACATAGGAATTTTATGTGATTTTAACCCGCCACGCTTTGACCTGCATAAACCCGCCCTGCCCTGCCAAAAAAAAAATTCTTCCTATTTTCTACTTTGTTATCCATAAAGGGAAGCCCGATGCACAAGGCATCCCGCGTTCACGCAGAGTCCGGGTCGCATACCGAGGAGCGTGTGTTGACAACCATGCTAGCATTAAAGGCTGCTTTCACGGCGAACCCATGACCTATAGGTCAAACGAAGACAACTTTACCGTTGCTCCAAAGCTCCCTGTCTACTTTGCTATCTATATATTAAATAAATTCAGAAATTCTGAACAACTTTCAAAAGAATAATTTCAGGTAATAAATAATGGCTTCTTACACATGCCGATTGGTGCTATGATGATACTGTAACTAAGTATGCATAATTTAAATGCATTACAATCTTAGGAGCAAATAGTATTCATCTGCATTTGTGGGCTATAGATCATAATGTTAATGCAGTCATATCTACTTAATTGTCTGTTCGGTAATTTTTCTTTAGGATTGAAATAAAAGCATATAACTAAATACTAAGGGAAGAAATGTCGCTAAAATTCCAACATAATGTTAGCTTCCAGTATTTTGAAATAAAACCATTAAAGCTGCCAAGAAGAAAACCTTTTTTTTTTTTTGGGATGAAGTAAGTGGTGTGTTAATAAGAAGGCATTCAGAAGATACAATGATTCCAAAAAAAGGATATATTAGCTCCAAGGAAAGACAAAAACCTATGACAATACTATAGAGCTGATAAGAAATTCTAATAAAGAGACAAACATCAGGCTGTCAAGAAGAAATTTGTAATACAATATGAATTTTTGTAATCCAGAGGCCATCAATTTCTAACATAAAGTAGAATAGATCGTAATGGTTATCATATCATATATTTTTACATTAATTTGTTTTACTGATTATTTCATCATGTAATCTCACCTAACTTATCAATCTAATCTATCCCAAGACCTTCTAAATGCCTGAGATAAAACGTTAATGAACTATATGTCTATATCTAATAAAGAAGCAGACATCAAGGTGTAAATTAGAACGTGAAACAAAATGCTAACTAACCAAAAAAATAAAAATAAAGAAGGTAGCTATGAAGCAATGGCGGAAGAATAAGACCCAGAAGAGACAGCACAAAGAGCGAGAAAGAGGTATTAAAACGCCAGTGGCGGAGGAAGGATTTTTTCCAAAGGATTCAAAAAATTAAAAAACTAAACAAGCAAAGAAGCCAACCATAACAAAAACATTTATATGGTAACAGATTTTATTAATAGAAAGATAAGTTTTCAACAAAACTATAGTGCTAAGATAACCAGACCATAGTTACAAGACTTTTGAAAGAGAAAAAAAAAACAAGTCTTGTGTTAGTTACAAGGACGCAATGAGATCAACTATCTTATAATCTTGAACAAGAATAAACAGAAAAAGTAATTAACTTTATATATATTTGGATATTTAACAAGTTAGCCATTGAATACATTGGCACTTGGTAGAGGGCAATTCTAAAGCACTTATCTATCTCAATTTCTCGAACTCAAGGCCAGGATAGTCAAATAGTCTATAATTTTCAGTTTACTGGGCAATAATATGATTGATACTTTTTGTTGACAAAAAAAAATGTAAAAGTATCTATTTTTCATGAACAAAGTTTAAAACCAGCAAAGCCCAAGCCACATGTATAACAAACACTCATCCCATCTCTTTCAAGCTTCAACTCCAAATTCATCAATATCTACGAAAATCCCAATGCTTACTGTAATTCCAAGCAACTCATTTAACAAAATTCCTAAACCATAAACAAAAAAAAAAGAATACATAGAGAAGGGAACTTACTTACTTACCGGGGAAGCCACGACCGAAGAGGCGACCGGCAACTGACAAGGTGAGGATGAGAAGACGAGCAGCAAGCAGCGGCAAGAGGCAAGAACCTGTGCTCAGCGAATTTTTCAGTTTGAGAGTTATTTTATATCTTTTGATTTTGAAATTAGGGATTTAATACAAATAAAATAGGGATGCATTCGGTTTTCGGTTTGATTTTATATTTTATGTTTTCGGTTTTAAAATAGTACGATCCAATTCAAATTTTAATATTTTTTGGTTTTTGGTTGGGTTTTTATTTGGTTACGTCATGTAAAATAATTTTTATAATAAAATAGTTATATTCCATGGCAAAAAAATAAATATTTCAGAGAATAAGAAGTAATAATATTAAATCTCTTAAATATTATTTTTAATATTAATCACGAGTAAAACTTTTAAAACACGATATTTAAAAGTAATATGATCAGACATAAGAATTCAAAATTTAAATCATAATTCAAGTTCAAATGAGATCAATTCTTTGCTTGCAAATATTAAAATACTAAGAAATAGTGAAATATTTATGAAAGCTTCACAATCAAAATATTACTTAATAAAGGAGAGGAATAAAGGAATCGAATTATGCTTAGCCGGCATTGAACCTATGATCCTTGAATGAATTTGAACCCGTTGACCACTAAGCTAATTTTTAACTTATGTCTGATGGGTTTTGCATATATTATATATACATAAAAAAAACCGTTATACAATATAATTTTTCGACAAAGGAAGGTTCATTTGCCCCTACCCATACCGCACCCGCATAGTTTGGAAAGAACTGGAGTGCCAACCCGCCTCGCCCCGGAAAGCCTTAGACCCCACCATCCCCTCCCACCCTTTCCCATTGTCATCCCTAATCTAGTGTAGATGCAGCTCAAGAGTGAATGTCATACAGCAAATCACGTTGCATCACGTGGTGATTTCTCAAAATGAGGTGGTCATATTCACATATTCTAGAATTGTGAGTAAGATAAATATATTTTTTAAAAAGGGGGCGAACCAAAATAATAGCCTATTTGGCCAAACTTCTAATATCAGCTTATTTTGAGAAGTGTTTTTCTCAAAAGTACTTTTTTAAAAAGTGTTTTTAGTGAGAAACAATTTGCATTTGGCTAATTAATTTGAAACGCACTTTTGAGCAGTAATTAGTATTTGGTCAAGCTTTTGAAAACTGCTTCTAAGTGTATTTTTCTCAAAAGTGCTTTTAGAGAGAAGCTACTTTTTTCTGCTTCTCAAAAACTGCTTCTGCTTCTCCTCAAAAGCACTTCTTTTCCTTCCAAAAGCTTAGCCAAACAACTCGATTTTTGGACATAAGTGCTTTTGGCCAAAGAAAATACTTTTGGCCCAAAAAAAAAAGCTTGGTCAAACAGGTTATAAGTCACAATAGCACAACACAGTAGAGATGAGATGGTTTTGTCTGCGGGTATTACGGTAGCACGGCTACAAAAGAGAAATTTCAGAAACCACTATGTTTTAGTGATTATTAGCTTGCTATAGCTACCATTTACTAAATTACTTTCTATAGATATGTTTTAACTTGTTATAGAGTGTATTCAATGTATTTAAGCTAATGTATTCATGAATCTATATCTATCTATATACTATATTAAAAGCACGAAGACCCTTAGCGAAATGTCGTTCACCTTTTTTACCCTTTAAAATACCTTTCATAATGGATAAAATTGTAACTCAAGTGCTTTCCTAATATTTAGGACGTTAAAATCAGTTAAAATTTATTTTTCCTTACTAAATTAGGTGAGAAGAAATACATATATATTTTACCTTATATATATTATACTAATTGAAAATAGATGAGAACATTTATACGGTGCTTTGAATTGAATTTTAATTTAATTGAAATATGAGGACATGAAATCGCATATTAAGTTAATGTTTTTTAATACAATAGCATCCACATTAAAATTGTTTTAACATGGAATAATTAAATTTGCACTTTAAATATTCTTATTTTAGTCATATAATATAATTAATCCATATTCAATTAAGCAACCAAAATAATTATTTGATGCATGTTTTAATCATACTAAACCATAAAAGCCAGTCTATATTATAAAAGCACGAAACCTCTACAGAAAATAATGATTGACTTTTTATTCTTTAAAAATAAATTTCACATTGAATACAAATATAATTTAAATATTTTTCTAATATTAGGACTTTAAAATCAATTAAATTTTTACTTATTAAATCTTTTTTTATTTAAACTATATAGGAAGTATAAATATTTAGAACTTTAAAATAGATTATATATTAAAAATAAAATGTTTAATATGTACATGCACACACATTAAATTTCAATAATGTTTTATAGTATTTGTGCATCCTATTAGATTTTTATGTTTTAGTAATGCTTTCTTTGCCACGCACGTTTCGACAAAGTTATGTAAATCATAATATTTTTTTCATCTCAGCAACTAAAACCTTACCACTTAGGTAATACTGAAACCTTTGAAAGGAGATAAATTAAGACATAAGATTTAATTTTTAAATTTATGTTATATGAATTTTTTTTAAAGAATCGTAATAAAAGTGCTAATTAAACATGTTTGTATCTTCTCGTATGAACTTGAGAATAGCTTTTGAATAATATTTTTAGAAAAAGTTTTAAATTTTCAAGGTTATGTGTTTTTACTGAAACTAAAAAGGAAGTATAACAACTGGTAAAATTGAATTGATGAAACTAAAAAAAATAGAACATAATTTAAAGTGAATATATTGATAATGATTGAGAACTTCTATGAACAAATTTTTTTCTTTATTGAGTTAATTATATATGATTAATATTTAATTAACTACAGAAGCTTACACTTTATTTTATAATTTAAAAATATATACTTAATTTTCTTACCAAAAATTACTTACTAAGATAAGGAACACGCACAACGCGCGTACACTAAGACTAGTACAATAGGAAAAGCCGGCAGAAAAAAAGGAATTACAGCTAATGTATATACTGTATTCATATGTATTCGCGAGCTGTATTCATGAATACAGTAACAAAATTTGCGAAAAAAAAAGTCTTCATCTGTTTTAAAACGATAAGTAAATCAATTAACGCGATAGACTCCTAATATAACTCAACAAACTCAATTATAACACACAAAATTTGTATTTTCAGTTATAGAAAAGATTCTCAACTGAAAAATACCCCAAAATAGAGCAATCTTCAGAGATTCAATCCATCATTTCTTTTTTTTAGTGGTATCTTTACTAAAATATTTTTTAGTGGTATTTTTACAAATATATTTATACATTGAAATTATATAATTACATTGAATACAATTAAATATATAAAAATACATTGAATACACGAAGTATAGCAGGCCATCTATAGTGCAAAAATATATGAATACATACTGCAGATACATTTGAATACATATATACATCTGAATTCATAAATTATATTAATTAAAAAAATATATGAATACATTCTATAGTACATTAAATACATACTGCTGAATATATATTGTTGGACAAAACAGTGAAACAAAGTGAAGCTTTGAAATTATATAATTACATTGAATACAGTTAAATACAGTGAATATATTGAAAAAGTAGAAAAAAAACTAAAAATGGTAAATACAATGAAATACATGGAATACAACCAGATACATTAAAATACAATGAAAAAAGGTAACAGACTTTTCAAGTTCCTTAGCCCCAAAATCCGTCCCTAATCCACCGATATCTACGCCGTTGTCATGTGGGGTGTCGCCACCGGTACCGGCGCCCTCTGAGTCGTTCAGGTAGTGAATCTCTCATTTCTACTTTGAAAATATTGAGATCTGCAGTTCTGGGGCCTTTATCATCCTTGGCCATCAATGGTTCCCTTATAGCAAATACTGCATTTGGACTTCCTGAGGGAATAAATGGCTTCGGTGGTATAATTATGCCAATGCTGCATCGCCAATGGGGCTTGATCTCGACAATGGTCTATCAAGTCCTCCGCCAGTAATTTCCACAAGCTTGGCTAAAAAATTGAGAGAGACAATGAGGATGAATCAGTGAAGAATCGTTGATAGAAAGAAACGGGAAGAGAATGACGTTGTGACAGAGAGAAATTGGAGAGAGAGGTCGTGGGGAAAGAAGTTAACTTCCTATACGATAATTTTGTGAGAGAAAAAAAAAAGAAAGAAGGAGAGAGAACAATAATACACATCGTATTTAATGCTTAAAGGTAAGAAGTGACATTAAATAGATATTTTGCTATAAAAATTAAAAGATAGCTATAGGAGATAATTTTTTAAAAAATTATTTATTTATAATAAATAAGGTATCAATCTTTGCTACAGGATAGGAGGTAAAATTTCTAAAAATTAATAGCCTCTTGGTCTCGATTAGGCCAACCAGGCCCGTTATCCCATTATTGGGCTGACCCAAAGCTTAAACGACAGGTGATATAAGCATATATTTAGTCCATTTTTGGGATCTTTACATAAATAGCCAATTAAACTTAAACAGTTGTGCACATATAGCCCTTGAAAAATTATCGCTTCCGATTTTCTATTTGCTCATAATCAAAATAAATGCAATAACCTACAAAATTTTAAATCGTGATCTAAATTTCTTTATAAATTTTTTATTTTCTTAAAGAATTTTTAACTCATGGTGTAAAAGGTCTATCAATTGTAAAAAAAGCAAAAGAGGGTCAACAGTTGATAAAGAAGGGAGCACCAATGAAAAATGGGGAAGTGCACGGTTGGTCACTAATAACACATGTATTTATTTTTAAGTCACCGTTTAAAATGTCTTTAGTCTTTAGCCACTGCTTTAATAAACTTTAACTGCCCAGACGAAAATACCCTTCTGCTCATGTCCTTAACTTCAGGACTTCAAGACCACATGTCCTTAACTTTTGAACTTGGAACTCAAACTTCAAAGACCAAGCGTCCTTAACTTTTGAACTTATAAGTCAAAGTTAAGGACTTTGAACTTGTAACTTTAAGTTAAGGACTGTTTGTCCTTAACTTTTGAACGTGTAACTGTAAGTTAAGGACTGTCTGTCCTTAACTTTTGAACTTGTAACTGTTAGTTAAGAACTGCCTGTCCTTAACTTTTGAACTTATGTC